ATATTAGAATTCCTGTATCATTTCACAAATGTTTTACTCCCATCCTAACATGTTGCTTACCCTGACTGATGCAAGAATAAATTTAATTCGTTCGAAATTTTAAAATTAGGAATGACCTGAAAGTAAAGGTAGAGGAAAAAGTGTGATGTACAGGCATATCATGTGTTTGCTACCCCCTTGCTTTAATACTAAAATTTTCAAAATATTCATTCACTGAAATGCATGCAGTTTTAACGTAGAGTGGTGATCTATAAAGTTGCTACGTTTCTTCTGCTCTAGCTACCTATTGTTCTGGGTCATTCACCTAAGGTCTTTCCAGGGGAATGTAGTCAGTGATCATTTCCTTTGGGAAATCAAATGATAACTCGAGGATATAAACTCTTTTATTTTAGGATGGGAATGATCAACAGTTACATCGATAGTGCACGTAACCTGAGAAAATTAACATTGTTTTCTCTGTACAATGATAATGTTTCTCAATCTCCCATACAATGTGCTGTCCTTTGTAAATACACATTCTTGATTTTTTTGAGTACCAAATAAAGGTTTTCATTTTGTCACACATTGTTCCCAGTCTCTTTCATTATTAAAGCTCACTTAAAGTCAGAAAATTCAGATTTACTCCATAATACACTTTCTGTTGGACCTCCTATTACATAGAACTTATAGAATAACTCTTGGAAGAAATCATTGGCCTGAGAATACGACACAGTGACGGTCAAATCCCACTATGCTGTAAAACAATAGTTGGTTGTAGGTGCTGCTTATGCACAGGTAATCGTTTCGCAGTTTTTTGCGAAAATTCTGAAGCAAACCAACATTCTGGTATACCACTCCTTTCTATATTTACTATTTTGGAAATTCTTTAAGAGAAATAAAACAATTCTTGCTTGACATTTCTTTATAGGTGTCAAAAGTCAGCAGTTAACTGATTTTCTTTTAAGCTGGAAGTCTTAAGGAGCAAAAGCCTTTTCGTAACCACTGATAATTTGGCCTTGTGATAGAATGACTAGCTTGAACAATAAGTATCATGCTCCTATAGTTCTAAAATTATTTTCTACAGATTTTGTCATTTGTGTTTATTTTACCTTTTCAGCGTTAAAAAAGACAAACTATAATAAATTATATTGCTTGTGATAATACTCCTGATTTCAGAGCTCACTTTGAAAGATGAATTGCAAAAAACCTGCATTAGCTGAAAAAGTGAAAATGCACATTCGTGATACTGGAACTTTTCACATTTCGAGAGCCTTTGTACACAGCTATTGATTGTTTGTCACTATTTAAAAATACGTTTACAATAACTTCATCTGCACTTATGTCTGTAACTGTTGTTGTTGTGGAGCAATTTAGTTAAATTTTGGTTTAACTTATTTTATATCCTATTGTATGCACATTTTCCATTTACAGATTAAATGTATTATGCACATTAATTAAAAATGACCTTAAATAACTTCAATGAAATTGTCATACGCTAGGCCCCAAAACACCTCATTCTATTCCACTAACAGTTATTTTTCTGTATTTCTGAATCACTTGCTCGTCAATGAACTTTTGAATTCCCCAACATATCCTACATTGGATTTTGGTAAAAGCAAACGTAACATTTCTGATTCACTAATAAATATAGAATGATCTTAGCTGTGGTAAACAATGTTCAGATGAATGAAGATTATGAGCCCTTGCTGAAAGAGTTATCTTAATAATAGCACAGCATTCAGCTGAAGAACAGTTTAACAGTTTTTTATTTATGAAGAAGCCTCCATAATTCGCAGCCTGCTGCCACATTGTATTCCAAACGTTCCTAGATCACTGTCATCTACACGTCAGATGAAAGGAAAGTGTGTGTCAGCAGCTGTATATTGCTTGGCTTATCTACGCATAGGTACTGGGTGAGCAGACAAGAACATCAACCAATATTGTAATAATGGGTCCATGGGACCGACCTCGTAACCATTTTGTTTCAACTAACATTACAATGTTTTCATACCCAAAATATATATATTTTTATTTACAGAAGTTGTAATGACGCGTTACCGTAATCAATAATATAAAACTGTCCTGACTGTGTTTTAGTAGACTAGTATTTTGTAAAATACAGTAACATTTCAATTATTATACATTATATGTGTATATAGATGATTACTATTCAGAAATAAGTTCTTGAACTTATTTTTCTAAAAACATAGAACAGTAAATATAGAAGTAAAGCAAACAATTATCTCTTCTATTTACGATATTTGTACTGGGTTGCTAAGCCTTTTAAAATTTCGCACGTGGAGGATATGAAACGAAATATTTTTTTAGGTTTTATTTATACAGTTGAATAACCAAAAAATC